TGTAATGAGGGGCCCAAAACTGAGCACAATACTCCAGTTGTGGGCACACCAGAGTCCAATAGAGTGGTAGTAATACCTCTCTCAATCTAGAAGCCACACTTCTGGCTATGCAACCAAGGGTGGCGTTCGCCCTCTTGACCACCGCATCACACTGCCGACTCATGTTTAGCCTGCAGTCAACCAGCACACCGAGGTCCCTTTCACAAGTGCTGCTCTCCAGCCACTTGTCCCCTATCCTGTACTTATGACAGCTATTCCTATGCCCGAAGTGCAAGACCTTGCACTTATTCACATTGAACGCCATCCTGTTGTCTCCTGCCCACTTCCATAGTCTGTCCAGATCCTTTTTGATCTGGAGTATCTGCTCCTCAGTTGTGGCCACTGCTCCAGTTTTAGTGTCATCTGCGAATTTGATCAGCTGACTGTTCACCCCTTCTTCCACATCGTTAATGAAAAGATTAAACAGGATCGGCCCCAGGACAGAGCCCTGGGGGACCCCGCTTGTCACTGTCCGCCATCCCGATGATTCTCCGCTAATGGTTACCTTCTGCCTTCGGTCAGTCAACCATGCCCTAATCCACCGGACAGTGCTTTGGTGTATCCCAAAACTCCTCAGCTTCTCAACCAGGACATCATGGGGCACTTTGTCAAAGGCCTTGCTGAAATCCAGGTATACCACATCCACTGCATCCCCTCCATCTAGCCATCGCGAAACCTTGTCATAGAATTCCACAAGGTTTGTCTGGCAGGACCTGCTTTTGCGGAAGCCGTGTTGTGTGGCTGTCAGCCTCCCTTCCCTATCTAGCATCACTAGATCTCTCTCTATTATGAGCCTTTCCATTGTTTTTCCTACAATGAAGGTAAGGCTAACCGGTCTATAATTCCTCATGTCCTTTCTACTACCCTTTTTGAAAATTGGAACCACTGATGCCACCTCCAGTCCTCTGGAACTTCACCCGTTCTCCACAAGGTCTCAAAAATGGAGGCCAGTGGGTGTGAGAGAACCCCTGCCAACTCTCTAAGTACTCTTGGGTGTAACCCGTCAGGGCCTGGCACCTTTGTAATGTCCAATGCCCTGAGGAGCCCCTTGACTTCAAGGAGGGTGACTCTAATCTGTGCCCCTAAGTCCCCAGCCTCATCTAATCTCCTATGAGGATCTCCCCCGTCCTGCTTTGGGGAGAACACAGAGGCAAAATAGTCATTCAGCATCTGTGCCTGTTCCCTCATATCAGTCACTGCATATCCTTCCTCCTTATTTAGTGGTCCCACCACTTGTCTCCCCTTCCTCTTCCTATTTACATGCTGAAAGAAGCCCTTTTTGTTGATATTCTTGGCAAGTCTCAGCTCGTAATCAGCCTTAGCCTTGCGAAGAATCCTTCTGCAACAGGCCTCCTCCTCCCGGTATACCCTTTTGTCTATTTGCCCCAGTACCCATTTCCTACGGAGGTTCCTCTTTCATCTAATCCTTCTAACCACCTCCTTTCACATCCATGGCGGTGCTCTCCTCAGCCTCCCCACCTTACTGGCTAGAGGTATCGTCAAGGCTTGCGCCTCCAAAAACTCCCTTTTGAGTGCCATCCACCCCTCCTCAACTCGCTTACCTTCCAGTAACCTATCCCAGGAGACTCTTCTCAGTCTGGCCTTCAGTTGGCCAAAGTTGGCCCTCTTGAAGTCCCAGCTTCTAGTGCTCGACCTGCTGCACGTCCCCAGTCCCCTGATCTCAAAGCAAAGGATGGAGTGATTACTCGCATTCAGAGCTCCCCTAATCTGTACTTCATCTATCAGTTCCTCCCTATTGGTCAAGACCAAGTCAAGGATGTTTTCCCCCCTCATCGCCTTTCGGACCCTCTGTGTGAAAAACCCTCCCTCTACAGCTTCTAGGAAGCAACGTGACCCAGCTGTCACCGCTGAGTGAGTCTCCCAAGTAATATCCGAAGAGAAGCTGCCATCAAGAGGGCTGTCAAACTGATGCTGGAACAAATTTATTTTCCCTTGCTCCTGGAAGTGGGACACAAGACAACATCCTGAAAGAGGGCCTTTTCATCTAGAGGAGAAGCGTTTTGGTGGTGGAACCGAACATCTCGAGAAGATGGAGGGGAGATATGATAGCACTCTGCATGTCCTTGAAATGCTGTCACAAAAAGGAAGGACAGGGACTCTCCTCAAGCATGGAAGTTTGCAGGACACAGAAGGGTGGGCTCAAGTTGCAGGAAGCCAGATTCCAACTAGATGCCAGGAAGACCTCCCTCGCTGTTAGAGCAGTATGACAACGGAGCCCATCACCTAGGAGGCGGGGGGCTCCCCCTCACTGGAGGCATTCAAGATGGAGCTGGATGGACATCTGATTGGTGTGGTGTAACTTGCTGTTCTGCAGCACGGACGTGATGGCCTTCCAGGCCCCTTCCCATTCTACTATTCCGTGGTTCTGTCATTTTAATCCCGCAAAGAATCTGGAAGAAGGTAAAGTGAGGGATTTGTGTAAAGACAGCAAAAGGGGAGGGTGTCTGAGTTGCCAAAGGCGTCTCTCTCCCCTAAGTCTGCTTCTGCTCTTACATTTCTTTGCTCACCTGAGTGGACTCGTTTTAGAGCTGAATTTGAGTATCTCCAAGAGGGTCCCCTCCAACCCAGACAGAAAATGATTCAGCTCAGGCAATTTATAAGATAGGAAGGGGTGACCGTGTAGTTCGAACCCAGCTGATGTTTAGATTTTTCTTTTTCTGCCCCCAACACTTCACCTGAACAGGCCTGCCAATTTGCAAATTTTTCTCTGAATAGGGTTCACCAATCTTTTTTCATTATTTGGGGGAGGCAGCAATCGGAATTTACACACCTCCAAAATGACAGAATGTTCAGGGCATTGTGTGGGGTGCAAAAGGGTAGCTTGGATGACAATGCTAAAGAAAAGTAAGTTTCAAAGCACTCCCGCCACCCCAAGGTAAGGAAAAATCAAGTGCTGCTTCTAATAGTAAGCCCCAGATCCAAATATCCGTTGTAGGGGTTATGCTTCCTCAGAGAATTCTGGCAGAGTGGTCCCACCCCACACCCCAGGCCCTCCGTCCATAAGCAGGATGGACCATTTCAAGAGGCCATTTGAGAACAGCTATAATTTATTTATTTAGCTTTCCCTAACTGACCAATTTAGCTATTTTGGGTGGCATTCAGAGATACTGGCTGAAAAGAAGTCCTTTTTCTGTCAGATCTATCAGCAAACACCAGCCTGGAATTTTAATTGAAATGGTTGTTCCTCCCTCAGCCATGCAGAGGCAACAGAGGGCCAAGATAAGGGAGCCAGAGATCAAATTTTTAAAGCATGAGTTTATCAGAATATTGTTCTCAGCTCAACAGCTTCACTTAAGATGATTTACAGATGTTTAGAGCTACAAATTTATAGGAATTGAAACAGGGTGGCAGCAAGTACAAAAACACACCCCTCGTAGCCTCCCCCCCCCCCCCAGTCTGTGTCTGTGTTCAGACAACCTGATAACCTGCACTCAATGGCTGAATCAGGG